GTTCTCTGCTCTTTTTGTTAATTACCAGAAATTGCTGTCTATCTGGAGTCAATTACCATTTATATGCATGTGACATAGAAAACCCACTGATCATCTTTAAACTTTCATCCCAAATATTTGTTTCATCACCAATGTAGGTGGTATCATTTTCCAGGCAATGGGGGGAGGAGGTCACTATATTTCTGCTCTTCCAGGTATGCGAGTTTTTAAATCTTTCTAACTTAACTATGTATTTTGCTCTGCTTGAGAATCACTATCAAAAACTGCACATGACCTTTCTTGGATCTGTAATGATTATGGTTCCTAGCTGCAGACAGTGGAGTCTACTCTAGTTCAGTGGAGAGCAGCAGCTCCTCTTTGGGGGCATTCTGTCACAGAGGTCTGGGATGTTAAATATCCTGCACAATGAACTATTTCATTCAAAATACCATGAGAAGCCCCTTGAGAAACACAGAGCTCAGGGTTAACTTCATGGGCATGTCAACTGTGTGGTCAAATAGGGCCCAGTGCTTGGTTTAATGCTCTGTAGCCACTATTTTGAACATCTTAACTTTGTTTGAACATCTGTTTCACAAGTGAAGTCCAGTGATACAAAGGATTATACATGCAAACAGAAGAGGCAATATGTGTGTCCTTTTTTCCTCATCACCCCCTTTGCTTACGGTCTTCATGATGCCTCATAAGTGCAGGATTCTGGTGGCACTACAACATATAGGAACCCTGGGAGTCACAAAATGAGTACAAGGCAAGCATGTTACATTTATGACTTAATAGGGGTACTGACAGATCCAAGAAGCTGTGCTTTCCATTTGAACCAAAATTGGCTTCAGGTATAGAAAGAAGACAGCCTAAGAAATACAAATGGCTAAAGAGCCCTAGCATATCCTTTCTTACTTCTGTGTGTTACTTCCCTGTATTACCTTTTACACGGAAAATGTGACATAGAAGGAAGAGGAATCGTAGGGCAGCCAATAGTTCCTTTTCCTTTCAGTCCTTCTTTACTCAGGTTGGTAGGATGTGTGCATATCAATAAGGGAATTCAAAAGTCGAGTTGGTTTTGTGCAGCATTTACGCTGTTCTGATAAGCATGAAATATGTATGTATGCATGCAAAAGCTATGAAATATGTGTAATTTTGGTGATTCCATGTATGAGTTAAATGCTCTTATATTTGTATTTATAAATGGCATTGCATGATATAAAAATGAATGGCAAAATTCATTCTAGTAATTTACAATTGGAATTTTTCTTTACTTAGAGACTTTAAAAAACAAATAGAGATATCATGACAAGTTGAGGGAGGGATGAAAAGACAGAAAAAGCTTTATATTTTAGTATCTATGGCACTTTTGTCCTGTTTTTTTTTTTGAACAAAGGACCCTACATTTTTCATTGTGCTCTGAACCCCACAAATTATACAGCTTGCCATGACTGAACTAACTTAAGAGAAATGAGTTAAAGGATAGTATTCAGCTCACAGATCTCCAAGAGGCTAGAGAACCACACCATAGATAACACATATATAGAAACAACATCCAGGAAAAAACAAACAAGAAAGAACATTCATCTCACATCACAGGGTTGTATTAGTGGAAACCCAGCCCAGCACCATCTGCCAGTCAGCACCTATAACTCTAAAAAGGGATGTCAGAACTCCTTCCCAGTTACCCAGAAGAACCGGACACCTCCACCATGGTGTTTGCCAGGAAATCCCATCTCCTTGAGACATTAGTTGAGGTACCATATTGCTCACTTTCACAACCACATCATGAATGGGTGCATCTGATTGCTGGAAAATAGGTCATATGTAGTGATATGCTAAAGCCAACTTATTATCATTAGCATCTTCTCACTAACTCCACATTCAGTGAAGTGACTTTAGTAGCTTAGGGGTATTCACACTTAGGGGTAGTAGCTTAGGGGTATTCACACCATGAAAACTGCCAGTTCTACAAGTCAATCAGGGTCTTTCCCCCTCCCAGCCATTGGTTAAACATTCACCAGCACATCACTCACCTCATGCCAACACTCTTGCTGCAAGAGAGTTTGGAAACTAATTTTTAATTTTCTAGCTTCTGATGTACAAAAAAGCAACTTAAAGGGGTTGGATGAGTGTTGAGTAAGCCATCTTACAGCATCTGCCAGAAAATTATGGTAGCCATTGCCTTCTGTTCTAGGTTATAAATTGCTAACAGACAGATGCTAACAGACATTGAACAGTATTGGTGCGGGAGGCTGGGCTGGCTTTTCCTACAGGCATGCAGTACACAATGAGCACAGGTCAGTGAACTAGAAGAGATAATAAAGTGTCAACTGATATGACTAACATAGGTACATTTCTAAGATGCCAGAGTATAACCTCTATAGGGCCAGGGATCATGTCTGCTGTGTTTCCCACTATATCTCAAATCACCTGGCAAACAGAAGCCACTCAACAGCAACAACCAAAAAGGAGATGCTTTAAACATATCTAGAGTTCAATTTTGGATTTTTCACATTGTATTGGATAAGACAATTTCAAATGATTTTACTGTTTTTAGATGAGTTAAACTTCTGAATGTCAACAGTTTATTATGATACTTTTGCATACATTATCTCATTTGAACCTTATAAAATCTCTGAGAAGTTAGAACAGAAATTACCCATTTCATAAATGAAAAGACAAACTCCAAAAATATAAAGTGATCTGGCCAAACTCATTTAGCCAGTAAATGATGGTTTAAAATTTTTTATTCTCTGACTCAAAATTCCAGAGTTTTTTCATACTTCAAGAGACTATATTTATAAAACACATTTTATGGTGATTGGTTAGAGAAGTATTTTGGATTTTCATTGAGCATTCCCTGAAACTCAAACACATGCAATGAATATACTCCCCTAATTTCATGCTGCAAATATTTTCTTCAAGAGTGAATATTCCTTGGAGTTCTAGAAGAATTGGTATCATGGTTGCAACTGTCTTTTCTAAAAGTAAATGATGTTGATTCAAGAAGTAGAAGGAAAGAAACTGTTTTCCAGAAATAGCTAATCTGTGAATTTGATGCTTTTACCCTTTTCTAGTTAGGAATGGTGTAATTTAAATATTACATGCTTGATTATAATACAGTATAACGATTCTCAATTTTGTTATTTAAGAATGATGACAGTTGTGGGTGGGGTTGCTAACAATAGACTTCTAGGCTCCACCCCCCAAAATGTGATTTAGTAAGGGTCAAAATATTCAACTTTAAAGAACACTCTAGTGCCAGAGAATGCTATGAGAATCCTGGCATTGTACATCCGACATTCAACTCGTACAAAATATTTATTTTGCCAGAAAATGCATTTTAACGTGGTAGTCCTATTTTTAAATCATTTCCATAGCCTTCTAAGAGTTAAATCAATTTAAGAGATTTTTGCCTCTTAAAAATATTATTAGGCAATTTCCTGTATATTAGTAGAAATCTTGCCGCCTATTTTATAATCATGCTCTGAGGATGAAAACTGCAGGCTAATTTACTGTGGTAATCAGTCTCAAATCCCTTGGAGCATAAATTCTTATTAGTATTATATGTTATGGAATTTACAGACAGCTTCTTATCAGTGATCTATCCCTTTGAGCCTTTTCATTTTCTATTTGAAGAACCACAATGGTTTCCAAAAAGGATCTCTCACACCACTTCAAATAGCAACTTACTGCCCATTAAAAGACCTGTATAACACAAGTGTGAAATAACGATCTCTAATTTGGGTAGACTGAAGATGAGTCAACAGTCCTAATTCAGTGGCATATTTCTAATTTGAAGCCATGGTTTCTGCTTCTTACTGTTTCGTCTTCTTGTTGGAAAGAAACCCTTATGGATCTTTAAGTGAAACTCCCATTCCCCAAATGAGAAAACTGAGTCCCTAAGAAACCAAATTATTTGTTCAAGGTCACGCCCAATATTAGTGACCAAGTTATACAAAACAAACAAAACCCTATCAGTTCCAATGTAACGGCCACCTCAGCAGCCTGCCTCTTTTTCTTCGATTTCACAACTGCACCCCTCTTCTCACTCCCCCGCTTCGAATAAAGTTGTTTAGTCTAACGGTTCCTCTCCACCCCCTTTTTATGTGTTGAAATAATAAAACCTAGCACAACCTGTTAATGAATAACACTGGGAGTCCGCAACCAACACGGTGGCTTTCATCGGCTTTTTTTTTTTTTTTTAACTGAAAATTTCTCGGAAAGGCTAATCCTCTCCAAGAGGGAGAAGGAAGTCAGTAGCTGACAAGTCCTTACTTGTATTTGCGCGCGACCGGGACGCAGTCTGCCGACCCGGGGCGCAAACCAAGGAAGGATGTACTACACCAAGAGGGCAGAAAAGGGGCGGGTGGGGGGGAGGAAAACACAGTATGGGCATTCCTACGCACTAGCTTTGCCAACTCCGAGCAAAGCTGAACAGAGCGGAGCGTGAATAAATCACATTACGCAGCCGGGCGCACACACTGCACCACGGTGAACAAGAAAACAGCGAGGCGGAGTGCGCGGCACGTTCAGGAAGGAACGCTGAGGAAGCCCTTTTATAGGCCAAAGCCCCCGCTCGCGCGCCCTCGCCCCTCCCGCGAGGCCGCGGCGGCACGAGATCTGCGCCTCCACTCCCTCCTCCCGCGGGCGGGTTTCCTTACCTTGTAAAAAGCCGTCTCCACGGCTGCCCCCGCCTTCTCTGCGGGATGCGAAATGGCGGTCGGCGAGGCGAGCGCCGCAGCTCCGGCCAATCCCGCCTAGCCGCCAAAACGGCCCTGAACACTGGCACCACCCTCCCGCAAGCCCCTCCGTGCCCATCTATGACATCGGCACTCCACCGCCCCCCTCTGCTGCCCCTCACCCAGGTGGCCGTGCCCACTGGCCGAGTCATCGATCCCCTGCGTCGGGCGCGGGCCCAGCTTTCCGCCATCCTCCACCCTTTCTGCGTGCCCGGGGACGGGGGAGAAAACACCTTCTCCGCCTGGGTGTCCCGCTCGGGAGCCCGCCCTCACCCTCCCTTTCCCGCCGCGTCCCCTCCCCCAACTACTCGCAGCCCTCCCTTCGCTACACACACAACCTTCTCCCCTCCCCCAGTGGTTGCGTCCGTGACATCATCATCATGGCAACAAGAGCTGCAGCCTGGGACCGAGGAGCCCGTGTGATTCCCGGCGGCGGCGGCAGTGGCGGCAGCACCAGCAGCAGCACCGACGAAAGCGCGAGGGCTTGTCTCCTGTTACCCTTCACCGGGTGCTCTTGAGAAGGCGGCGACAACAGTGCCTACACCGCCCCGCCCGCCGCCGCTCACGGTGTCTGTGTGTAAGGGGAGGGGGACAAGCCGAGGAAGGGAGGGGGCGCCGCCACTGCTGTGGGGCCGCCGCTGCGGAAGGAGCTGCCGCCGCTGCTGCTGCCACTGCCAGGTCACTAGTGAAAAGGAGGCGGTGGCGGCGGCGGCGAACATGTTTTCAGTGAGGATAGTGACTGCCGACTACTACATGGCCAGCCCGCTGCAGGGGCTGGATATCTGCCAATCCCCCCTCACCCAAGCCCCTGTCAAGAAGGTGCCCGTAGTGCGAGTCTTCGGAGCGACCCCGGCAGGTAAGCGGGCGCGGGGCGCGGGCGGGAGCGGGGCGCTGGGGCTGCCCTCCCCGCCTCGCACACGCGCGCACGCCGCCGGCCCTCTCGGTGGAGCTCTGCCGCGTCTCCCTTCCCTCCGCCCTCGTCTTTCCTCGCGTGCGTGACAAGAGGCGCAAAAATGTGGGTCCGCGCGAGGGCTGCTGCCCCCGGCGGGAGGCGGCGGGCGCCTGGTGTTTACACTGCGTGCGGCGGCCGGGAGCGGGACGCGCACTCTCGGGTCGCTGGCTGGGGAAATGAGCGCCCGCGATCACCGCTCTGGCCCTGGAGGTTGGGCCAGGTGGCCGCACCACGTCCTGCGTGAACGGGTCGCAGGTTCCCGCTTCTGCGGTCTGTCGCTAGTGGGACCACGGACCACCCTTTCCCCCAGCGCGTCTCCCAAGTGCCCCTTTCTAGAAAGGGTTTTGAGAGTGGGAAAGTGTCAGCTCTGTTGTCGATCGCTCTTCGTCGCCTCTTCTCACCAGCGCTCTCCTCTGCCCCTTCCGGAGATGCAGTAGGCGGAAGAGTGGCGCCTGGGGCCAGATAATCTTTCTCATTGAAGTGACCGTGTGGTTCCGCTCTGTGTGTGTGTAGGTCGTGACTCTTTAGTTTACAGACTCGGAGTCTGGGGACGGGGCGGCGTCTTCAGGTGCAATGCTTTCAGGGAAATTTGCGTCCTTGAAAGTATGAAATGCGTGTTTACGGTGCCCGACATAAAATCTCTCACTTAATAACTTACATTTCTTAGGGATACAAATATTTTAAATGCCCTTATGCTGGGTTGTAGAGTTCCATTTTAAGTACACGTATATTTAAACCAAAAAACTATTTTGAAAAACGAAGTGGGGGTATAATGGTGACAGAAGCTACTTTCTCAAAAGCTTTTGGGGGTAATATAAATAGGATAGTGGCCAAATTTACGAGGTATTTTTCGTTGTTTTGCTTTTCTACATGCTTTGATCTGCCTACGTGAAATAATGGAGCTGCGTCCAGAAAGGGATGATCTTACTTCTAGCTGTATATTGTCCTGTGGGACTTTAGATGATAGCATTTCCCACTTGATGCTCCTTGCGCTAATCACCGTTCATCCTGTTACTACTGTGTCTGTGGACAACCACAATAATAGCCCTACTTTGCCAAACGTAAGCACTCATTCCAACCAGTTATCTTTTCATGTGAATTCTCTTTGTTACAAATGTCAGTGTTTGAGTGCTGTTAACAATTTGTTCAAGGTGTGACACTTTAGATTTTCTGCCCCTTTAAATATAGTGGTGCTGTCTTTGTGTCTAATTGGAATTTCAGTTTAATATACTGTTTGTTTTTACTTCAGGTGCAGAGAAGGAATAAGAGTGATGTTGATATGGCTTTGTTCTGCCAGGTTTCCAATTTATAAATGGACATGTTCGTAGGATATACTGTGGCATTTTTGTATATTACAGTTTGTAAGATTGGAATACTTTTCTACACATAGTTTTCTTTCTCCACGCAAGTCATTAAATATGTATCCCTGAGTGATTTTCAGGCTCTGTTTTATAGGAAAGTTTTGTTTGTGAAAATAAATGTATTTTACTGTGAGCTAGCAGTAATTCTATTACATGAAAAAATATTCTTTAAAAATAAAGACTGCTGTATTTGCGTTTCTCAATATTTAAAAAATATACATGTAAACTAATTTATAATAAATGTTTATCCTCTCCTGGACATATCACAGTAGATTACCCCCCCAATCCAAACTTTTTAAAAATATGTAACTTGAAATATATAATGTAAATGAATATGAAAGTAAGACTTTTTGTACATGTATTGAGAATATAAAGCTTGCTACAGAGAAACCAAACTTCAGCTTGTTAAGGATTATCAAATTGAATTTGCTGTAAGTATAGTTCACAGTTTCACACGTTAAAAAAATTGTTTTCTCTACAGATAAAAAAATTTGAAGTCACTGGAATACATTTAGAGAGTATAGCTTTCAGAAATCAAGCCAGCATTATTAGCATGTCAGAAACTCCCAGTAAAATTAGTATTAATTAAACATAACTAAAAACTGTTCAATTATCTGCTTCTGAATTTTCCCCAGAGAAGACTATTCCAGTCCACCCAGTAAAATAAAACTTGAAAATAATTAATATAAAAGGGAGGTCAGTCTGGTGTAGTAAAAATCTGAATGCTGGAATTTTTAATGAAGACACTGTTTGAAAGTACAACCTGCATTAATAGGTCCACAAATTAGTAAAATAAATTAATGAAAAATTGTAACACCTAATAAACCTATATTAATAAAGTACCATACCTAAGCCTTTCACATATAGTAATTAATTTTGGAAGCCCTTAATTCTTTGTCTTGGTTTGGAGACAAGATGTTTTAAAACTGAATTTGCTTTACAAATGAGATCCTGAAAAGGGGCAGCAGAAGAAATTTTCTCCCCCAAAAGTGGCGACTTCAGATTTACCTAATGAATTTGGACATGTTTGGTTTATTACATTTTTACTAGTCAGTTTTTCTGTTATTGCATGAAAAGTATTTTTCTGCTTTAGAAAACAGTCCAGTTGACCTCAGGTTGTCCTGTTTTTTGAGGCCATATCTTGAGTAATTTAAGAAATAAATTGTCTTGGTTTTAAAAGGTCCTATATCTCAAGGTTGTGGAATTTGAAAAAAGTGTAAAAAAAAATAGCATGTTCAAATTTGAATGATAAATCCTGACAGATTTAAATCCTTGTTGACTGAAGATAATTGGTTCCTGAGAGAATCAGTTAAATTTTCATGTGAATGATGGAATTACTATTTTTTTTAAAAAACCCTCTTCTGCTTGCTTGTCTTTTGGTCATTTTTAAAATGTCGTGAACATTGTTTTGATATAACAGTATATTGAGCAATGTAACAACATTTTGGTAACTTGTTTAATGGACGGGAAGTAAGGTTATAAATAAGTACAGATCCGTGTTTTTTAGGCTTCATTGTGAGGACCTGACTCACTTGACTTCACCAGGTCCACACCTGGGAAGATGTCCAGTCAGTTTCCACATCCCAACTTTGCTTAGTTGTTTGATGTAACTCCGTGTTGTGTTGAGCTTAGATGGCTCTCTCAGTTTTCTCAGCACCAGGTTAAACAGAATTACCCTTTCAGAAAGCTTCCCTGCTGAGAGGCAGAGTAGGGAGTAAATAGAGGAGTGTGAGTGAGATGTTCAGAAAGCAAGTAATTAAACAAAGTAGGCCAAACAGACTATAGAGGGAGCTGCTTGTCTTTAAGATTACTCTAAGGAACTCTGCCAATCCACTCTCTAAGTCTTTCCAGCGAATGAAAATTTTAGATGTTCTAGATGCTAACTGTAAAACATGAATCAAATATTTCAACATAACAGCTTGATAATTCTGAAATGTTCTATAGACTTTTGTAGTTGCTTAGTAACCTCACTATTTTTTTTAAATCCGTGGACTATTAAATACGTTTGAAATGACTAAAAATTGGAAAACTATGGCATTTACCAACAATTCAGATTATGAATAATTTCTCTAATAAAAGTCTTGTTTGCTCATAGTCTTTGCTAAGCTATTTAAAAATTTTAAGAATACATGATGCCTATTTGATAAAATTCATAGAAAAATTCAGGAACACTACTGAGATTTAATGATTTACCACAAAAAAAAATTAGTAGGTATTTGAAGTCCTGAGTAGCAGAATTTATTAGATTTCTCTATTATATTTGATTTAAAATAATAATCAGTAAATCAGAGGCTTAAGCAAGAGCCCTCTTAAATCTACAGACACAATAGAATCTGCTAATATGTGATTCCATTCGTTCAGTGAACACTTAATGAGAACCTACTGTGTAATATTGAGCCTTTTTTTTTAGGTGCCGTCGTTATGAACATCTTTTACCCTCCAGAAGCTTACAGTATAGTAGAGATGATAGATAGATATGTAAACGTATGTCAAACATAGTTTGGAGTATAGTAGAAATGTGCGTAAGAGCCAGGCCTCAAAGAATGACATATTTAGTGACATGCTCAGGTGGTAAAAAGGGGAGTCAGGGAAGGCTTCATGAAGGAAGTATGGATTAAGTCATTTTAAAGGAATTTTAATTCTGATAAGAGGAACAGATACAAGGTAATTTACAAATGAAGCAAAAATTGCTCTCGGCAGGGCAGCTTGGCGCAATGCATTTAAGAATCCTTAAAGTGTTCTTTTTTTTTTTGACCCAATAAGTCCAGTTTTAGGGATTTTAATCTATGAATGTGAATATTTTGGCAAAGTTTGATTATCTTTTGAATCCATCTACTTCTTTTCATTATTCATTACCACCCTAGTCTAAACTAGTGTTTTTGGATGCATTTGCAACAATAGCCTCCTAATCTTGGCCTACCCCAATCCATTCTGTTCCCTTCCAGTCTATTTTCTACACTGTAATGAGAGGGATCTTTTCAAAAATAAAAACCTGATTATATCACCCTGCCACTTGATACGCTTCAGTAACTTTCATTGCATTTAGGATAAGGACAAAGCTATATGTCTTGTGTGATGGCATCTACATTTCTTACAAGGTCTTTCATAGTCTGGCCCCTACCTTTCTATCCAGTCATGGCTTGGGCCATATTCCTCTTGCCTTTGCTCTTTGTGTTCCAGCCACATTGGCCTTATTTCAGTCCCTTATTCTTGCCATGCTCCCTCCCACAATGAAGCTTTTGTACCTGCTGTTCCCTCTGCATAGAATGTTTTTCCTTTTCTTTCACCTAAACTTTGATTTATCTTTCCTCAGGGAAGCCTTCCCTATCATAGACTCTCAAAACTCCATAAACTCTCCTTCATAACACCTGCTATAGTTGTAATTTTATATATGTTGGAGATTAATGTCTTTTTTTCCCCCAATAACCTCCCTAAATGCTGGTTATGTGTTTATTTTTGCTTGCCATTATACAGGCAGAGCTTACTACAGTGCTTGAAACAAGCATTTGTTGCAGGAATTAATCAGCAGATGATAGTCATCAC